CCCTGGGTATTGCACAAACCATATTGTTCCCTGGGTATTGCGCCATTCTTACTCCAAGTATTTGGCTCCATTTCACTTACATATGTGTACTAAAAACGTGCAGCTGCACATTTTGTTGTAAATTTCAAAGTAGTGCAGTTGTTTCCCATGCTGCTCATCGCATGCATTGACATTTGCTTTTTTTCACATACAGGGTCACTATTCAATTTTTACTGCATGTCAAGTGTGCTTGAAGTTAAATTCATTTTGGCACTTGATCTTGTGGTATGTGGGGTACAGCCAAACTATATTATTCCATGTTCCACTCTCGCTCACATGATAACTAATTAGCTAATAATTTGTTGTACACTAGGACATAGAGTCATTTGTAAATTTGTTCCGATAGGAATTAATCTTTGAGAAGAAAGAAGTGATAAATTCCTCCCATGAATAAAACATACATGATACAGTCTCTTAGTTTATTTAGACATACTTTATCACTGTCTCAGTCTCTTATGGCTTAAAACATGGTCACAATTTATTCATTAATTTTATTTGGCAGGCGAGAGCAGTTTATTGGTAGAGCCAAGGTGGTGCACTTCGAGCGAGGAGGAAGTAAACGAAATATCTTCGTAGCAACAGAAGCAAATGTTGTTGCTGCTCTGAACACTCGAAGTGGTCATTTGACTTGGCGACAGATATTCCAACGAGGCCCTCCTGGTTACATTGATACTTTGTTGTATAACAATGAAGGTAAATAACAAGCTCTACCATTCCTAGATACTATACAGGACCTATTAGCTACTGAAACTATTCACTACTGTAAGAATTAGATTGCAATAAACCGAAAAACCCTAATTGCTAGTGCTGTTAAGGTACATTTTTTATTTCCTGTTAGATTTGATCAGCGTGTCAGGCGGTGGCCACTTTTTACGCTCCTGGGAACCATCATCAGGTTTCTTACGATGGGAAGTGCAAACAACAACTGAAATGGCAAACTTTAAAGTGTCAGAAGGGTAAGGAGAAAATGTCTCCAAAAATCATATCAAAATACAGCAGGTGAAATGGGATGCATTATATTAATCAGACTCTTTGAGAAGAGGGACATTTCCTAATGTTAAGGGCTATTTCCTTCGACTGGAGTACAGTTAAGCTGTAATGTATTCATTCTATTCATATTGCACCAAGATTTCTTAATGATAACTATGACAAATGTTTTTGGGTAATAAGTGCAAACCTTTGTTGTGTGTCTACAGCGATGCTTCAGCTGTGTTTGTGAACAATGATGAAACGCCATCTGTAGTTGTGTTAGCAGGCAGTAACCTATATGTACACTCACTGAAAGATGGCCAGCAGGTGTGGGATCAACAGCTACCAACCACGTAAGTTGGGAAGATTCTCTTGTCCAGGATTCCTTTAGGTGGGCTAGCCAAATACAACAAAGTCTGGTTTACAGTTCTATTCCTTTATGTATTTTCTCTCTTTAGAACAAAATACAAGTGGCTGTATTCAGATGGTATTTCGGTGTACACACTTGGTCTGGTTCCCAACTCCCACTTCAATTTACTTAAGTACTCGGCAGTAAATGGAGCCCTTCAGAATAAGGCAAGTAACAACCTACATAAATGTTTCTTGAATGTGTTGCAATTTATTGAGTAACATTTGAGAAGCATAACAAGAATTGAAAATAATTCAATTTTTCACACATGGTATATCTTTGAATCAGGCATCTCTTCAAGCAGCTTGGGCCAGTCTGCAGGATACCAGTTGTATACTGGTATCCAGGCTTCAGTTTGTGTGCATGGATACTCTCACCAACTCCTTACAGGTTGCTTCATTGGAAAATATCAATGTGTTTTCTACCACTCCTTTGAAGGTATGTCTTATACCCAGTGTCACATAGTACTGTCTTGAACAGACTTGGCAGGTTTAATTTCTGGCTTTTCCCTGAGCTCCTTGACTAGATGGCAGTTTATGATGACAATTTTACTGTTCTGAAATTTTTGTAGACAATTGGACTTGACAAACATGGTCCTAACCCCACATTGATTCAACTGTATGTTCCATCAACTGAGAGACCTGAGTTTGCCCTTCAACTGACAGAGGATCATCATGCTCTGCTTAAGATGTCTGCTGGTCAGGTGACATTGGTCAAAGATTTACCATCGGTAGGTTGATGCACTAATCAGAAAAAAGTCTGGAAAATTTGAAAACTCCTGAGAGCTGATGTCTCACCATTGATCTTGATCTTATTTTGTTGGTTCCTTTTATGTTAAGGTTTGGCAGATAACTGGTTCTACCCAGGAAGGCAGTGCAATTGTAACGACAGCTAGCTGGCTCTCATCAACAAAGGTATTGAATCAGAATTTTTTTTAAATACTTGTCTTGTCTCTTTCGATGTCTTCATGCAATTGAAATTGATCTTGTTATTATTTACAGTTATACCAATTACTTGAACTTACAGGAAATCACTTTCCGATGCTACAAGGACGGTGTAGAGCTATCAGCAATGAAAGACACAGTAACCTTGGCAGGTGACCATGGAAATCCAACAAAGATGAGTGTGTTACTAATTGAGAAGAAGAGTGCAAATCCAGGGTATAGAGTCCTCCTAGAGACAGCTGATCATGCCTTGACACTGATCAACCAACCCGGTAGGATGCCAAGACCTTGTGTAATGTTATGGGTTTTGTTTTGCTAAGCCAACATTTGGATGACAGATTCTGCTAACAGCTGTACATGTTACAGGGGTGAAAGAATTCAGCTTCTCAGTTGATTTCAGCTTTTTTTTGTGTAGATGTTGACCCTGAATTTCAGCTTTTTTTGTGTAGATGTTGACCCTGAATTTCAGCTTTTTTGGGTAGATGTTAACCCTGAATTTCAGCTTTTTTGGGTAGATGTTGACCCCGAATTTCAGCTTTTTTGTACACTTTTTCTGCACAAAAGTATGGGAACGTTTTCCATTTCAGCTTTTTGCTAGCTGTTTTCAGCTTTAATTTTAAATGGCCACTCGAACCCCTGAAGTTAAAAATGTTTAAATCACAATTGGTAGTATATGATTATGCCTGATATTGGAAGAATTTGTTGGTTTTCGTGGTGTCTGCCTGTCAAGGACGTATTGCTTGGCAACGAGAAGAGGGACTTGCCTCAGTGGCTGCTATTGAGATGGTTGAACTACCTGTGTCTGACACAGAAGCAAAGTTTGAAGAAGAATTTGGTGGAAAAGCACAAGGTAAAGTTCATCTGTACTTTGTAGCCCTGGCAAGATGATTGAAGAAATTTGTAGATGTTTCTCCATTTGTATACAGCCTAGACTTATCTATTAAGGGAAGATTCAGAAACCATCTTGGCACTGTATCTTGATGCAAGAAGTCATTAATGTTAATTTTATTCTATTTATCTACAGAGAGCATAGGATCAATGTTCCTACGGAGGCTTAGTACACAGTTTGCTCAGTTTCAGGTGAGACCAGTCATTAATTATTAACCTGCCTTGATCCTAGATTTTTCTTCCACAAGTCATAATTAGCAAGAAAGGTGTAAATTGATGCATGTGGGTTTTCTTTTCATTTAACTACTTGAGATAAGTTTTTGTTGCATTTATTTCACTATTTAGGTTTATTTGGCCCATCTGAAGAGACGATTCAGCCATGCCTTCCTTCAAGATCCAATCAGCATCCAGGAAACACTGAAAGGTAGATCTGCACTGCATAAAGAGGGAGGCAGTTCTGATGAAAATGAGTCACTTACTCGAGATGAGTTCAGTCTTCGCAAGATCATAATTGTTGTCAGCAGGTCTGGCAAGGTAGGATGTCTAGATTGTGTTCGAGGTTGAATTGTTTCGTTATAGGAACTGAATCATCTAGCTGACACAAGGATAGCTTAGAAATCTAAAAAACCCACCAGAATCAGAGTTTCATTTGTTTATTGTCGGTAAACAGAAGGGTTTTTGTTTCTTGTGTAGTGCTAACCCAATTTTGTGGATTTGTTTCTCAGATCTTTGGTCTTGATTCTGAGGATGGATCACTGGTTTGGACTACCTATTTATCCATACTCCAGAGCTCAGATATCCCTGGTCATAATCAGGTGTTGTTGTTTGTACGGAGAACTACTGCTCATTTCCCTCATCCACCACAATGCACTGTCACTGGTATCCACAAGGTACATTCACTAATCTCAAATCATTACTGAAAATAGAATTTGTTGTTCATTACTTTGTTGATGTGCAAGCTTTTTTGCATTAAGTTTTGGAAGCAAATATGAACTAGAGTTTGATCTTACAGATCCTTCAAAATCAGCACAGACTTTTTGAAAGATTTTCAGACAACTGCCATTTCTGTAAACGGAGCCTCATGGCTCGTAAGGTTTAAGTAGGAATTTGTTGAGTGGTTTTTTGCCCACTGCAGGATTTAGAGAATTCATGAAGGATCTTGGTAAGAATGCTTAGGGAGTTTCATGGAATTCTGAATCTTTATATATCAACTTGTAACTAACCTGAGTAATTTTTGACCACTTCAGGTATCTGGCAACACTTTCATGTACTCCTTCAACCCAATAACTGGTGATTCCTTCGACCCTGTGAATTCTGATCATATCTTACCTTACCGAGCTCAGCAGGCTAGTATGCTAGCATTAGCTGATGAAGAGGAACTGAAGATCTTGGTTTTACTGGACACAGACAATAAGGTAGGACTGATCCATTCCTAAAAATTCATACATTGATTTTACAGAGGTGTGCAGTGCCTTGTATTTGCATTAGGTTGTCATTTACATTTATTTTGTACCAGCCTGCTTTAAGAAGTGTTACCTTTTGAATTTGCTTAATTACAGGTTTGTCAGTTCTTTGTCCTAAATTAATTGCCCAGTACACATTCTATATTTTCATAAACTGAAGAGTTTTGGAATTACAAGTGTTAAATTTGAGTGGTAATTACTAAAATACCAAAGACACTTAGCATATTTGTCATTAATATTGCAATTGTTTTTTTGGATTGTAGGTCCATGTTTACCCTAAACAGGCTGCTGGTATCTTGCAAGACCGTGCATCATCTATATATATTTTCACTGGTAACCGTTCTGAAAACTCCTTACAAGGCTACCGGTTGGCTTCAACAGGACAAGGATCGAGGTCTCTTTCAGCTAATGTCATCTGGAATGTCCAGTTACCAACAACGGATAAAGGCATAGTTAAGCTGGAAGCAAAGAGGCATACGGGTATATCATATGGAACATTTGATTTATCAAACAGACTAAGGCTGTACACACTAGTGCCCTATTACTTTAAATATACAGGATGTTGCTAGTGTAGCACAGTTTTTTATGAGTCTATTGTGACTTCTTTTGTATGCACCATTTTCTTTCTTGGTCTGCAGAGCACGTTCACTCTCAGGGTCGTGTGCTTGGTGATCGCTCCGTTCTTTACAAATACCTTAATCCTAATTTGGTTGCCGTAGCTACTGAAGGACAAGATGCATCTGGAAAAGGTATGTGTTGGATTGTCTTAGTATGAGAAATTGTTTGACACAGTCATAACCAATGTTTGGTGTACTAATTGGGTGGCATCAAAGGAAGCAGTGTGTGGCTTTGCCATGTGTGAATATTGTGTTGTTCTTTTGTCTTTGACAGGTCATCTTAGCATCTATCTACTTGATGTAGTCACTGGTCATATTGTATTCAGCATTGATCACAAAAGGGCCTCTAGCCCTCTGTTCCTGGTTCACACAGAAAACTGGATTGTGGTGAGTTGGCCTCCACATTAAAATGCATGCATGTGGAACAAATTTTGGTTTAGATTATGGGGTCGCATTTTGGTCAGTAGGTAAATGCTTGGTGAAGTGTATGAACTATAAGTCTCTGAAGTCATTTCATTTGTTTATACATGTATACGCATTGACAAATATGCATGGCTTTCATTGTCCATTTTCCCTTCACTGTTTGCTATGTTTACATAACAGTTTTGTTACTGGTTTGTACAATTATAATTGACTGCTTATTTGAAGCCAAAACGATATACTTGAATTTTTAAGTGCCAATATTTTATGTTTTTGATACCGATGACAATGGAACGTTGTTAGTTAACTTACTTAAAATGTCTCTTGGTAGTACCATTATTGGAACTTGCGTCACAGACGTCATGAGATGACGGTGTTAGAGCTTTATGAAGGAAAAGTGCAGAAAAACAGGTGAGTTATTTGTTTATCACATTGGGTCTGGAAAAAATCATCTGAAATGAACTTACATGTTCATGTATGGTTAGGACGTTATAAGCAACTTTGCTTTGTTTTTAACAGCACTGTGTTTTCATCTGTGGATCCTCCTTCTGCGCCTCTGGTATTGAGACAATCATACATCCAACCATCAGCCCTACAGTCCATGGCAGTAACACGTACAGAGAAAGGAATAACCAGCAGCAATATATTACGTTAGTCATTCATTTTATTCTTACTATCTATCCAATCCTTTCCTAGACTAATTTGAAGGAAGACTTCAACTTTCTCTGCAGTTTGGATTAATTTTGTTGGTCAGGAATTTTTTTGTTTCAATTAAGGACACATTTGTTCTAGAACATCACTTTTCTCAAGTATTTAAACCTGTGAGATAAATTCACAAATAGGTGGTTGGCTTACCATGAAGTGTAGATTATCAAGCTTCCCTTCTCTGATTAAGGCCTTTCTTTTACCTTTGGCTTAAGGTAGTGAGGGTTTGTTTTTTGCTTTGTCATAACTGTCGTCTTAATCTGTTGTGTTCTTGCTTACCTCAACAGTTGCACTTCAGTCTGGGGGTATCCTTGCCTTGCCAAAACGTTTCCTTGATCCACGCCGACCTCTACAACCTACCAGTGAAGAGAAAGAAGAAGGATTAATCCCATATCTACCAGAACTACCAATACAACACCAGTCAATCATCAACTATAACCAATCGGTAATGATTTGAGTTACCAATACCACACCCGTCAATCAGTCACTATAACCACTCGGTAATGATTAGAATTACAAATACCACACCCAGTCAATCATCAACTATAACCACTCGGTAATGATTAGAATTACAAATACCACACCCAGTCAATTATCAACTATAACCAATCTGTAATGATTAGAGTTACCAATACAATACCCATTCAATCATTAACTATAACCAATCGGTACTGATTAGAGTTACCAATACCATACCAGTCAATCAGCAACTATAACCAATCGGTAATTGTTAGAGTTACCAATACCGTACTAGTCAATCAGCAACTTTAACCAATTGGTAATTATTAGAATTATCAGTACCAAACCAGTCAGTTCTTAACTACAAACTGTAATGACAGAGGTTGTGCTTGTGTCTATTTATAAGGTTCTTGGAATTGAGGGATTGTTAACATCACCGGCTGGATTGGAGTCCACTTGTCTACTTTTGGCATATGGCTTAGGTAGGTACACTGTACAGGATCCTTACTATATAGCTACAGAAAAATCTTAATTATAAATACTTGGAATTTTTTGCACCTTGCATTGAGCCAAATATTAAAGACATATTTGAGTTTGGCTGGTTGATTTTTCATATGTAAAAGAAGTCATCTTCTTTTTCAGATTACTACTTCACTCGAGTCACTCCTTCCAATCTGTTTGATGTCTTGAAAGAAGACTTTGACTACACGTTGATCACCGCTGTATTAGTTGGTTTAGTGTTTGCTGCTGGTGTGACAAGGAAGCTAGCTGCAAATAAAGCCCTCAACCATGCTTGGAGGTGATTGAAGTTTTAAAATGGGGACATTCCAGGCTAGCAGATTAAACTCTTAGTTCAGTGAGTAGGTAAAGGTTGTATCACAGATTTTTTGCTGCATATAAGAATACATTAAATGGGAAAAATTATGAAATTATTTCAAGCAGTTTTCATGAATCCTTTGTTAAAGTGAAATATGTGACAGGTAATAGAGTACCTTTTTAAGACACAAATTGCCACAAAAACTGGTTTCATTAAGCTTGTTTAGAGGACAATCTGTGGCATTTGTTCTTTATAGACGCATTCTAATTATTAAACTGTCCAAATTTTTGGATTGTTTGTCAGAACTGTAAGTCCAGGAATTTTTTAAATTTTTGCCAGACAAAATTATGCAAGGGATGTGTGAAATGAAATGTTTATTTTCATTAATTGAAGCTGGTGTATTTAAACTGACTAATATGAAGTCATTCTACAGAAGGCAAAGTGGTCTCCAGTGAAAGAGATTTCAGTGATTGTAATGTAGTTTATGGCTTAATTCTAGTCAATTGCTTGTTCAGGTTTTATGTTTCAGTACTTGAAAGTGAGCTTTCAAAGACCAGCAGACGGTTTTTGTTAAAAATGGCAAAGTAAATTATGTTAACAAAGGATATAAAAATGACAGCATTGTCATAATTAATGGATGGTTTGTGTATGTGTTAGTGATACCTTGTTTTTATTTGCCTAACATTTTGCTTCTCTACATATGTTTAAGGCAAAATATGCAGGCTTAGGAACTCCACTTTTCCCTGTGAATTGGATAAGGTTCTGTTTTGTATTAAGATTTGTGAAAATTGGCAAAAAAACAGCACTGTGTCAATACTTTAAAATGTGAAATACATGTATGTTACACGTGTAAATGTGTTTCTTTCAAAGTTTCATCAATGTGGTGTTAATTAATTGTAAGTTGGTTGGTGGAATTTGATCTGCTTGATTTGAATTTAGACGAGAATTTCATTACGGTTTAAAATAAAAACTTCGAAAGACATTTTGTTTTCATACTGTTGCATTCTTTCTTTGTGTGCCATTTCCATGAGGGGTACTTTTAAACCATAATCATTTTCTAAGGGGAGGGGGTAGTTTTAGAGCCCAGTGTGGAATGTGACTGGTGCCCGTGCTAACATTCCAATCATACAAATGAATGTGCACTCCGACTGGTGTACAACGCAGTGCTCAGCATGCGTTTTTGCTTCCTTGCGACGCAGTGGTGGTCGTATTCCTGTTTCCCAAACCCTATGCGCTACATAAATTACGCATATTGCTTTAGTAACAGACTAGTCTGCATAAAATTAGACGTTTACATTATAAATTCTGACAGTGACAGCTGCAGAAAACGATGCAGGATTTCTGAAGAAGCGCCCATGTTTTTTGCTGGAATCCATGATCGATTCTCTGCTTCCGTTTGTAACAATACACAGACGGGTTTGTTGCAATGAGATTGTTGGTAAATAGTTAAATTGTAATTATTTTGTTAGCTTTATTACTAAATTTTAGAGTCACCCCGGCGTGGCGCGCTGGCGTGATACAGCTGGCGTGAACAACCGCCATGCAATTTGCAAGGGGTTAAGGCCTCGAGGTGCATTCCTCCTTCCTCCATGATTCAACCATGGAGGTAGCTACCTCCATGATTCAACCAAATCGTCGTATTTCTGCGCGCGAGCTTATTAATTTGTGATCCCACGGGATTTTTACATTAAGACAGGCCATAATCAGGAGGCATCATAGAAATATTTCTATAAATCCTGAATTTAGGACTGATAGTTTCCAGTTCGGGGTATTTCTTTCACAAAAAGCCCCAAATTGCAGGCCTTTTTTGGATAGACATGATGGAGGCGGGCGGCTACACTCAGAAATGAGTGCTTAGTTTTACTGCTATTTTGGGGGTATCTTCGTTCAAAGGTGAATAAAAATATTTTCGTGGCACAGTACTTGTGCAGAATATCCCGCCACACTCACCTTGCCCACCTCGTAGCCGTGGGTACGTGGATACGGAGTCACGCTTCCATCCACAAGGCCCACTTCATATCCCCGTATCTGCGTAGCCATTCCCCGGGACCCACATCGGACTTGGGAAAATTCTTCCGCCTTCCCCATTCACTTTGCGTTGCAGTTCTTTGTTCTCAAGACGCAGCAAGGATAACCCGAAGTCAAACAACCTCCACTTGACTATGTAGCTATTGATTTTTAGTGGGTGTTTTTGCATGGCAGGGTATTCTGCAATTACTCCCTTTTCGTGGCTAACCCCCATAAAATTGAAATGAGAAGTGATCTTCTGGCCATAATCTTGAATTTCCAGTGAAAAAACGGAGGTCAACTTCTTCACTAGAGTCAACAGGGGGCGCTATTTTGGTCAGATTTGGCACTGTTTTCTATGGGCGCGTATTTGGTGTAGTGCAACCCTGCTGTCGCCTACCCCCAGAACTGAGTGTGGGGTGGACGTTGGACCCCACAGTTCTGGGGTAGCAGGCACCATGGTCGCTTTCTGGATTCTGGCATCTGTCTGGTCATGTCATTTGCCACACTGGTGATGCATCACCAATGTGCATGTGGCATATGATATTTGATATTTAAATGCATGGCTACCTGGCTACTGGTTGGTTTGTGATTGAATTGGCTCACTTCGGACATGGCGGAGCTAGTATAACGTTAGTGCAGTGCAAATTTTATCGGTTTAGGCCTATGGGTTTAACAGATGTTTGGTCAAGTTGGTTGATGGAACTTCAACCTGCACACGTAGGCCCAGTGCCATGATTTTTACAACAGATGGAAAGAATTCATGTACAGACACCACAGATTTTTGCCCACAGTGATCTATTAGCCATTTGAAAGCAGTAAGATATCCAAAAAGTCAAAGTTAGCAGTGGAAATATTGATAGTGATTGAGATATTCACCATGTTCAACATTTAACGTTAGAATTTTTCAGACCAGTCTCCTAGGGTTTGTGCACAGGGTGTCAAGAGGCGTCCATGTACATAGTATATGGAATTCTTTCCCAACAGACACAAGTCATACACATATAACAAACATGTTAAAAATACCACCAGACTATTGTAAACATCCGAATTCCAGTTAGGCTAGCATTTTAAATCATCAAATGTTTAATGTTCTTTGTAATTGAATCATGTGTATAATGCCTTTCATTTTCATTTTGTCTGTGTCATCTTTTCCGTCAAGGCTTGAAAAAAAGAGACAAGTCCAACCTGTACCAATTTTTTAACATTTGCTAACATGAACATAAGTTCAGAGGTAATTGCACTTTTCTCATACAGGTCCATTGAAAGTACACGACACATATATCTGCCAGAATAAGATCTTTGTTGCATCCAACTCACTGCAAGCATGGTTCTAAAGAAGCGTAAACACAGCACCAGTCGACTCGAAGATGTCCCACTGGCAGACTATGGAGCTGATGAAAATATCACCGACAGCGTTAAGATTCAGTGGGTCAACCAACCGTGGGTTAGTCTTCTCACAAGGCATTATGTAATGTCAAACGTATGTACATGTATTAAAAAAGTCGGTACTGTGTAACTCAACAGATTGTAGTGTCATGTCTTGCAGGTAGGAAATGTGGCAAATTATGTAGGTACACGTATGGCCATTGGTAAGACACTTGGTCACTTGTTACTTTTCCTTACCGTGGGAAAATAGGCAACAGAGTTTAATATATCATTCTTATTGGTTCAAGACAGAACATAATCATCCTCTCTATGTTAGATCTGAACTCAGAGTTGAATTGTGACATTTGGCTATTCTTTCTAGGTGCGAGGCGTGCTTCGTGGTATGGCTTTTATCAGCTTCATCTCAGTCAGTTGTAACACTCCTAAAACATTCGAAGTCATCCCCAGTCTGCAATACATCACCTTTGTCATGGATATTATCGTGTGTGTGATCTTTACTGCTGAGATGATTGCAAAGATGCATATGAAAGGTGTCATCCGAGTAAGTCCTACTAACAGCCAGCTGTTTAATCATTGTTTTGTTTCAAGTTTATTTCTTATGTCCAAAAGTGCTACATAAAACAGTTATTTGTATTAAAGTGGTTTGTGATTTTTGATTGCTAGGGGGAAGCACCCTATCTGAAGGATAACTGGTGTGTCTTTGATGCCATCATGGTGCTTCTGGTTTGGGTCTCGGTGGCATTGCAGGTAACAAAACAAACCTAGATTTCTTCCTTGAAGTTAAACTTAACTGACAATAAATCATTCAGTTTCATGTTTTACATTGTCCATTTTTAGCAAGATCAGCATTAAGTAAATACATCTTAGTCTGCCTACATGTGTCTGAAATGGGAGGTTGTGCTGTCCAGGGGAAACCATTTGTAGACATTTGACTCAAATTTGGTAGACTCCTGCACATGTATGCATGTATATGATTCATTCCATCAGGTAAGGAAGAATGAACATTTCCTTGTTGATTGCTTTCATGTAATGAATTGAGATCGTTAAGTATGGTGGACCATACATACATCTATCTTTATCACCGTTGTCAGTTGTGCTTTTCCTCCAGTTTTTCCAGTTGATAGAAGTTGTGAATGCAGTCACAGTTTATTCCATTCTGAGGTCACCACGTCCACTGATGGCAATACGATGTGTACGGGTCTATCTCAAATTCCAACTGCCCAAGTCTCGTGTCATGTCTATTTTTAGGTAAGTTCGTATGGCTAACATTTCACAAGATTGGTCAGACTGCTCACAATGAGCAAAATTGACGGCCTTAACATAGGTTCATTCTTCAGACGATTGCAACAGCGAATTGAATTTTGCTCAAAATGTGCCCAACTTTTGCAGATTTGCAGCTCGTGTGTTTGGTCTGACATCACAAAATTGTGTTTGCTTTCATATCAAGCATGACTCCGCCTTTATTCATGGCCCTTCTGTGTCATTGTAATAAACTGGATTTACTAAGACCAGTTGCATTAATAACTTTTGCTTTGCCATATCCCCTGATCACTTCAATTATCACCCTACACATACATACATACATACACCCAACCCAACCCAACCCAACCCAACCCAACCCAACCAATCAATACCATTGGAACCAGTCCTGTGATATTTAAGATGGCACTGTTAAGTTCTCTTCATTTGGAGTCTTTGATTTACAGAGTATTGAATCCCCGAATGCCAGTGGATGTTAGTGGCATATCTGGCTGAGTTTGATCAACTCATTTGACCTTTGGTGTTCCTTCCTCCTCTTTCTTACTAGGCGATCCGGCCAGCAGGTTTGGAGTGTGACTATCTTTCTGGTCTTCTTTCTGGTCTTGTATGGAATGCTGGGAGTGCAGATGTTTGGAAGTCTCTCTGCTCACTGTGTTGTAAATGGTACAACAAACGAGTAAGTTACTAGTTTATTCAGAACTAAGATAGGCAAAGCAGAGATGTCAACATTCAAAAAAGTGAAGGTGACAGATTTAACTGTGCCCTTGTTCAAAATTCAAAATAGTATGTTGGAAAAATTGTCCACTTGTTGCACAGGTGGCTTAAGAATTAAAAGTGCTTGCCTCTCTCCAGTGTGCTCCAGATTGTAATCAAGTGTTCTCATTTACTCATTGCAACTATAGTTCTAACTTCACTATGAATGAGCTAGCGATACCAGACACACACTGCTCAGTGGATTACGGTATGGGACATAAATGTCATCAAGGAATGACATGCATAAACAGAGATTCACTACCAAGAGATGTCATGGGATACAATGGCTTTGAACACATAGGTAAGTTAGACTAGCCCCTCGCACCTGTTGTAAATTGCCTACAATTGATTGCTACCACCTGCTTTATGAGATGTATCACACTATATAACATGAAGTAATCTTTCCTATTTTTTGCCACAAAGGATCCAGTATCTTCACAGTATATGAGAGTGCCTCTCTGGAGGGTTGGGTGTTTGTCATGTATAAAGTCATCGACAGCTTCCCACCATGGCGTGGCTACTTCTTCTTTGTCACAATGATCTTCTTTCTTGCCTGGCTTGTGAAGGTGAGCATTAATTGATTCCAGTGTTTGCACTCATCTTAGTCTACTGCTGATTGTTTTATGCACATCAAGTATCAAACTCGACCAAATGTCTCGTGGTTTTTGCCTTCAGAATGTGTTCATAGCTGTCATCATCGAGACATTTGCTGAGATCAGAGTTCAGTTCAGACAAATGTGGACCAACAGAAACACAGCAGAATCAGCAGTTGATTCAAAGGTAAGAAATCAACCTTTTTAGCCAACCATGAATCAACTTACGAAATTACCACATAATCTCATTATCTACATCAGCCTATTTGCTAAGGATAGTTGGGTTTTATGCCAGTTCATTCAGCACAGTTGTTGTGGGTATAGAAAACTATGTATTGCAGGTTTGCTTTAGCATATTAAAATTACAATTTTAAGGTTTTGTCAAAAGTTGCAATTTCAATCAGACTTTGGAATTTTGGAATGTCCTAGGTGCTTCAAGATGACGGGACCTGTACACCGTGGAAATTGACAACTGTGGATGAAAATAAACCGCGAGGCTTAGCCCCTCATTGCTGTCAACTCATTCTACAGTCCAGGGCTTTTCATATGGTCATCTTGATACTGGTGATCAGTGATGCATTGCTAGCCTCAACTTACAACATGCTGAACTCACTTGGACAGAAAGAAAGCAGCAGATACCATGATTTCCTGTATGCAGCGCAGGTGAGGTGCTGTATTGTGTATTTGATCTTAATGCTTAGTACTATTTCATCCACACACTGTAAATTCAGGCATCTGGACAGTTGTTAGTAAAACTGATATCAACAGGATGAGGATCTTGAAAATTGAGTGGAATTTCCGTACACGTACTTTCTGTCTACAAGATGCTGTAATTGTGCTCTTTGGATAGCTGTGGAGAGGAAGACAGTTTTGTTCATCATCTGTCTTTGAGTTCAGTGTTGTTGTCGAGGCCACTTGATACTTTCACAAGACCATCACAAGACAAGACTAACACAAGACCTTCAGTCTGAATTCAAGTCATAAGCTGTTCAAATGAATTACAACAAAAGCATTCCATTGTCATTGTTCGACTTGTTACTTGTGATGGTCTTGTGTCTGGTCTTTGTCTGGTTTTGTGTCTGGTTTTGTGTCTGGTCTTGTGTCTGGTCTTGTGACAACACTGGTTGAGTTGTAGTTGATGTTACAGTCGATCATTTCAGAATCCACTTTTACATGACTTAACAAATTAAAAAAAAATTGGGGTAATCATTGACATGATGCTGCCAGTGTTGTGAGAGAAGTTAGGTTTCAGTTTCCAAATCAATCAATCTTAATTTTTTTCCCCTTCCAAGGTGACTTTCACCGTTCTGTTTGACTTGGAGGTTGTGTTCAAGATTTGGTGTCTTGGTTTCTTTGGTTACATCAAGCGATCACTTCATAAGTTTGAGTTATGCTTGGCGCTTGGAACAACTCTGCATCTCTTCGACAAATTATACCACACACAGTTCACTTACTTCCAAGTGAGTATCCGCTCTGAGTGGAACAAAAGAGGGCGTGCTTTTTGGTACTCAACGCATAGGCCCACCATGAAGCCCGCAGGTATATGCAGGTTTAACGCAGAGTACGCTGATTATGCGTAACTAATTTATTCTGGCATGTATGGTCTGTGCATACATGCGTGCAAGAACCCGCTTGTAAACACCTCTTTCTGTTCGCCAGTTGGGGTTGCACCTCAGTTCGGGGTGGATTAAATCATAGTTAAATTAATGATTGGTATCAAGAACTTAAAATTCCCTTTTTTGGTCTGGTGAAGAATGTTTTCTTTGTGGTGTCATGTTCATTGCATGCAAAAATTAAACAGTAAAACCATGTTTTTATGTACACGTCCCTTATGATGTGAACATTCCCCATTCTCTGTGATCTACCTTTTGGTATTCTGTAACAATCATTTTCAGGTGGTGCGATGTGTTCGTCTGATCAAATTGTCGCCAACATTGGAAGATTTCAGTCGCAAGGTATTGCCAGTAACACTGTGCTAGAATTAATATTTGCTTAATAACTTGTGTAAAATTAATTTGACTTCTCAGAAGATTATGTGCTTGCGGTTTATATCAGGAATTCAGTTTGATGTAAAAGTTTTACTTTAGTGTCAGCGGAGAATATTGACAGTGCACCATTTGCCCTTGGATGCATTCTCGTTATGCATAGACGTGATTCAGAAAGTGATTAGTTAAGTTCAAACAGGTGTTTAATCGCTCTGGTATTTATCTCTAGATCTACTGACTTATTAGCCAAATCTGTAACACTCAGTAAAGCTCAGTGTTAAATTGACGATTGCTTTTTCTTCATTCATTACCTAATTTAGATTTTTGGCCCATTCGTCAAGCTGGGCACACTGATTCTATTCACCATGAGTTCTCTCATCGTAGTATCAGTCATTAGTCTTCAATTATTCTGTTATATTCCGGACCTCAAGCAATTCTGGACCTTCCCTCATGTGAGTAATAGTCGTTGGATATCTGTCTTATGATTGTTAAACCTAATAAAGCTAAATGTTGACTTAGAAATTGTGGAGTTGCAGTATTGAGTTGCTGTAGCACTTTACCTCTAGGTCTGAGGTGTAACAGTTTCTTTGTTGGCAACTAAAGTTGTATTTAAAAGTTTCCTGACATGTACTTGGAGATGAAACGGGGGTATTTCTTGTATGAAAGATGCCTTGTGGGAATAACTGTTTGAAAACCTATTTTAGCAGTATTACAATATGCACAGCATCCTTAAACTATGAAAAACCTTTTGGATGTTGAACAGGCAAATTGAAAATTTGCCTTAAGTCATTGTTCTTGCTGGCATCATGAACAAATAACATGTCTATTTTTATGGAAGTATTCAGTAAACCAATGTCTTGTCATTTGAATATTTTGGATTACCCGCAGTAGTCCTTGATGTTGAATGTCAGCAAGTGTGTCTACAAGGAATACTTTCCTTATATGTTATATTACAGCTGAACCATTATATTCATTTTACCCCTTTTAAACTGATTATAATATTTGTGTATGTGGCGTGGGTTCCCCACCCCTTTCCATCACCATATCTGTTCGTAGGCCCTCATGGCAATGTTTCAGATTCTAACCCAGGAGGGTTGGATTGAGGTAATGAATGAATGTATGCTCCATGCCAGCGAAGATGTATCCAGTTTAATCGCCGTGTTCTTTTTAACCTACCATCTTTTTGCCTATGTGGTAAGTGTGTTGACAGAGGGCAGATCCCTCTAGGAATTCAACATGGTTCGCAGTTGAACCAAGAGTGCAGCTTATGGTGTAATTCTCATCAGGATGAGATTTCTAGAGCATCTTTTTTGAAAGGCGTGCAGATATTTTTCTGATAAAAATTTTCTTGAGAAATGAAGTGTCATGAGGAATATTTCAGGGCACATAAATCATAAGAGAAATTCCATGTGACTTCCATAGATTGGTTGAAATTCTAGACTGTTTGACTTTCCTTTACACCATAAGCATTCTTGGTTTGCCTCCTTGATTCTTAAAGAATGGTTATATTCATCCTTTAAGAAACCTGACGGAACTAAATCTTGCCTGTGTAGAAGATAACATGGATGAAAAGAAAAACTTCAAATACATCCCAAGTGAACTGTCTAGTTTGTTCTGGGCTTTTTAATACTGTAACTCTTTCATTATTTTCTGTTCTTCAGATTTCTCGAGATTCTTTGTAAAATGTCTCAGCTGGAGCATCTCATTTTAAAAACTGTGATGGTTGGAAAGTTTGAAACATTTATAACTAGGTTGAGCCGGTTTGCGGATCTTTTAAAAAACATCCAAATGTAAGCTTTTTGTTTCAATTATGTGACATGGCACTTCATGTTGGGATTAATTTGAAGATTTTTCTTTGTTTCCAAATTTACCATGATAATAAGAATAACACAAGTTTATTTTCTTGTTCTTTTGTTCTCTCTGCTTTGATGCCTACTACCCCCTCCCACCTTTCCTTCTCATTCTAGGCCTTCATGTCCATGTTCCAAATCTTGACTCAAAAGGGCTGGGCCGTCGTCATGTATGAAAGTATGCTTGCTGCCGATCATGGTCTGGCCCCACTTATAGCCATCTACTTCATCACTTATCACCTGTTTGCCACTGTGGTAAATATACATACCATCTAGGTCCAATAGAAGAATGGGATTTAGGTTCACATTCTCTTGGATAGTCATTTTTACTAACCTTTAGGGTCTTATCAAAATGGTGGCCAATGTGGAGTACATGTGTTCTGCGGAAACCACAGGCAAAGATCTTCAGGTGTTTTGCCAAGAGTACCAGACTGTTATAAGCTTTAATTCTGAAAACCAAAAATGGCTGCTGTTTGATGGAGATCTGATTGTTGAACCCAGATATCAGTTGGAGGCTGCTTTCTATATTTCTGGGTCAAAGCCAGACCTCTCAACATAAATTCACACAGATTGTGTACAGTTGAGAGTATGCCGCTAGTTTGATGTCTGGGTTTTATCATGTAGTGTTTGTTTTTGGTGTGTAGCATTTGTTGTGTGATTGATTGTCCATTGCCTGTCTCATTTTAAGATATCCTGAGTATTGATGATGAGAAATAACAATCCAGATGTGTATAAGTGAATGCATGAGATTGATGACAGAGCATGACTGTAGCATACTAATGCACTATGTGGCGCCTGCTGATTGCAGTGAATAAGCAAGTTGACCACACAATGCTTAGTTATCAGAAAAAATTCATGTCACACTTTGATGTAGTACTTATTACATTTGTTTGCCACATCACTAACACCAGGCCCAAGCCCGCCCCCTTAATCCACACAATAACTCATTCTTGCATTCTTTTGCCCCTTTTTTCTGAGGAAGAAAGAAAGTAGGGTTTTAGGTCCAACACTGACAAAGTGGCATTTCTTAGTTATGTCACGCAGGTTGATTGATAAACTTGTTCGGTGTTCATATTAAGGAAATAAATCGTTAAAACTTGAGTTGCAATTCCTAAATTTATTCTTCATGGGGGATTTCTTGAACTCTTCATATTGGTCTGTTGTTTCAAGTAGAGATATTGGTTTCTGGTCACTTGAACTTGCATGTAAATGTTATAACGAGGGCTGGTAGAAACATGGGTTTGATACAGTTTGCATTTTCCTAGTGCAAGCATGGTTTTTGTGAGAGTCTAGTCGATAAAAGTGAATTGAAAAAAGCAACATTTGTATAAAATGTTTTAGAATTGGAATGAAATTTGTTGAAGTAGACTTCTTGTGGTCCCCTTGTACTTGCTTGTTGAAGTCCAAGTAATGCTTAGTAAACTGTCAAAGAGTGTTTGGTTTGATTTTGACCCTTCAAACCCTGTAGAAATGGTCTGTTTGTGTTAGAGTCGTGTGTCTTGATGCAAGTTTGGTTGTTTGACTTGTCAAGAAGATGTAGTGCACAGTTTGTATATCTCATTGACACTGGTTGCAGTGTTGTGCCTGTTTCTGGTGTAGATGCATTGTGTCACTTGGAAATAGACATGACCCAATGAACAGTTTCCATAAATGTTCCTCTGATTATGTTTATGAGTAATGAGTTTTATTTTCATGTGTATGTTGAATGTTTCCATGGGGATGGGGATTGAAATGAATGATCTTAGCGTGACTAGTGGATACACTTAGCTTTGAAGCAAGTTAAATTGAAGTTGGGCTTCAGTTGAGGAAGTAATTGTTTTTTGTTGGTCTAATATTAAGATTGTACTGAGCATGTTTGTAGCTGTCATCTTGGACAACTTGGAGTTAGATGAGGATTTAAAATCTCTCAAACACCTCAAAGCAACAGAGCAAGGAAACCTCATAGAGAAGTTACCTCTGCGACTCCGAGTGTTTGAAAAATTCCCGTAAGTAATAAAGACCATTTCACAACTTTAGAATGCAGTAGTCTGCCATGAAGTCAAAACTGACCCTAGATTCTGTTGGATTTTGTTGTTCGTGTTGTCACTCAAGCCAAGTTGACTTTGTAAGTGTCAAAAGATTTTCAAAGTTCACACCGCAATTGTTCAATGTTCTTACTGCTGTTCTGAGCCAGATTTGTTTACTGTAAGGTATTTGTATGATTCATGTTGACAGCGACAAACCTCAGATGGTTAGTCTGTCTCGTCTGCCGTCAGAATTCTCTCTTCCAAAGATCAGGTAGGTATTAAGTTCAAGGCAGTGTTTGAATTTTGTTCTCCTGCAGCCATTTTGTCAAAATTGACATTTTCTGATTTATTTGCAGTCTTGTGATAGGTCAGTAGAGCCAGTACACTAGTACTTCACACAGGGCTTTGTACTTCAATTTCCTAAAAGTACCTAGGATGTGGCATCAAAGTCTTTAACTTGATTAGATCATGGATGGTTTCCACCAAGAGAGTCAACAGTAATTTGGCTTCAAATGCTGCTGATACAATCATAATCGAGAACTTACGTACAGTGTACAAGGGTTAAGATTTCTACTGTCATTTTTTCTACATAGGGATAGTTTCATCCGTCAGTTTGTGGAGACAGGAACAGACATGGAGAGATTATTACGACGATCAGTCAGCAGAGATACTCAGGGTCACAACCAGGGGTCAATGGTGGTGGCTTTGCCTGACCCAGCTAATCAGCTGCGCTTACTGTGTCGACGAGCCAAGATGCTAGTCACCTGTCATGTACCTAGTTTGGTGCACAGGAAAACTGGTATTGCCGCCATTGTCAGGTAAAATTCAGATTGTTGCTTCAGCAGTTATGAACGAGGGGTAGTTCTGAAGATGTAAAATCATGAGACATAGATATGCATCAGTAATAATGGCAGTAGTCCAGATTGAACAAATCATTATATGAAAAACAGAGTCAGAAGTTACTCTCTAATTCTGTAAGCTCCCCAACCCCGATCAACCAGGCTATAACCAGGTACATCATGCAAAGGAAGTCATTTTCTTTTAAAACTCCGCAATATTTGTGTTGTTTTTGTTTAGAGAAGTTTAGTTGTTTTTATGATTTTCTGTTGTTTATTTCTTTACAGAAACTCAGCCCATCAAAGGGTACTCAGTCTTGGCTATGGCGCTATTGGTTACCGGGGTCGTATGCTTAGCGAGTATGGATGTCGAGACCGCAGGTCGGTATATCGGTAAATATCAAACACATGTCATGTACTTTAAATGTCATTTCATTCCAGTTTCTTTGGTTAATCTTATCATCAGCTGGTTACTTTACGTGGAGATGACTACAAGAAATGTATCAACTGAGTAGCGGTGACAGATAAGCCTGTTCTACTGATCATCGATGTTGTGGAGTTGTGTGGCGATAATTTGTTTCTTTTCATTCCATTTACACCCATTTTATTTCTTTCCATTCCATTACACTGTTTTTATTTCTTTCCATTCCATTCCATTACATCTATTATGTTTCTTTCCATTCCATTACACCCATTTGATTTCTTTCCATTCCATTCCATTCCATTCCACAACACCCATTTGATTTCTTTCCATTCCATTCCATTCCATTCCACAACACCCATTTGATTTCTTTCCATTCCACTCCATTACACCCATTCCATTCCATGTCATTTCATTTCATTGCTGCTCATTTTAATGCTTGATTGTGTAGTGTAGGTTTTAATTAATAGTAGCTGCACAGTTTTGTATTTGACCTTACCCTTAGCTTCCCCAGCAGTAAAGCAGAAGGTTTCCTGTATGATGTAGCAATCGTTGAGCGTGACTGTCATTACCGTGTTCTCCTTTGGTGCAAATATCGTTATGTCCCCCATCATACAGCAGTCAGTGGTTGCTTTGATGTGTCTTGCCAAAAGTCAAAAAAATAGTTGTAATTTGTGACGTATTCCATGAGAATAATTACTTTGCTGCCGTGTATCCTGTTGTTGTGAGCTTACCATTTACATGTAAGTGGTTGCTGCATAATGGCAGCTGGGTATATATTCCTCATACATGCACTGCTTTGATTCACATGCACTGCTTTGATTCACATGCACTGCTTTGATTCACATGCGGTGCGATTGATGTGAGGGTACAGTAGCTGTGTTATGCAGTTTAATATCAAGTAATCACTTGTTTCCATTTACTGGCCATATGACCATTATAGACCATTTGAATTGCAGTATAATAGGACATAATGTAACAACAAACCGTAGACAGTAGAACTGAAAATGTTTCCGTGAATAATCATAGAAGGTTTACTCCCTGCTCTGTGGCATTTTCTGCCAAAAGTGTTCTTGTACACATAGAATGTACACCCCGTTAAAGAACATAATATGCACTGCATGCAAGATGAAGAATATGTCGAGTTAAGGTCTTCTGCAAAGTGATTGTTTTCTGGCTAGTGGCTGTGGCTTGGACATTTCCATGGAAACGCTGCTGTGACTATTCCTAGTCATGAACAAAACACAATTCCGCATTTGAAAGCTACTTCTTTTTGCATCTCCTATGCACAGACATAAGAGCTGTTGGCACCTCAGTCTTGAGTTCCCTGGTTATGACTTTTGTTGTGAACAGAATTTCTTTGAGTTATGTACGTTGAGTATGTGGACTGTGACGTGTGTTTGAAATGCACAGTGTATTGTTAGAAAACTTGAAGTACAGTACTCTGTTTGTTTCAAATGTTACGAATTGCTAAATTACATGTAGGATTTTGTTATTTTGTGAATCCTATGAAAAGAGAGATTTGTTATGCCTTTGCATATGTTTTTCTTTGGTTTGTTGTAACGTTTAGAAGATTTTTGCACTGTGCTGCATTTTATGATTTATGTTCCAAATCTGCTCATGAACTTCAACAACTGAGACATGGCACTATGTTTGGCATCCGTCTGATAGAATGGGTTTGTGTAAAATGACCTGTTGGTTGATGCTGTAATTGAAGGCTGTGATGTTGTTTTGGAGTAGTTTATAAATTTTTTGTTGTTGTTGTATGCAGTGAGCATGACAAAACATTGCACAAAATTTGTCTCTGTTTCACTCTGCGTAATTGTCTGCAGAGAAGAATTTCATATTTGAGGGTATTGATTCAGTTGTAATGTGACATCAACAGGTTGAGGGCATTGCGTGGGTCACTGAGAGGTCACAAGCCAATGGAATCCATCAAGGAGAATGGAGACACTATAACCAATCGCAATGTGTCATTTAATATCAAAGTGATACAGGAAAGGAAGCAACAAGCTGTACAGAAGAGGCAAGTTATCTGGGGCTTTTCTAAACTGTTTGGATAGGTTGAAATGTTTATGCCAGGTTTAAAGAGGAGACACGTTTTTAGAATGAAAACTTTCAGTTATTATATATGGAGACATTTGAGTAGAAATATAAACTGTTCCATGATAAATGATTGTCCTTTTATTGCGATGAATCAATAGAAATTGCCAGACTTTATAAAGTAATATTTGTAACCTTTGACCCTACTGCAGGACTGCCAAGGAAGAGGAGCTACGAGAGAACCATCCCTACTTTGACACGCCCCTTTTTGCAATTGGTAGAGAGAGTCGCATCCGCAAGATCTGTAGTGCTATAGTATATGCCAGATACAATGCGTAAGTCTAGTGTGCTTTTTTGTAATGTTTTCACATCCTTTAACATGATGCAAATTGTTTGTTGTTTTATGAATATTATTGTTCTTGAAATTTATCTCAGTACTCTCACTGATGAATCTGGAATGGCCATCAAGCGTCGTTACCAAGGATTTCAGTAAGTAGCTGAGCATTTGATTGTGTATTTCGGTTTGTTTGTCAACTGGCCTATGTCTTGCTGTCGCTGAAGTTCAAAAAATCTTTGTTTGTATTCAGATGGACAATTTTGCTGTATTTTTGAGATAGAAATGTGTGTGCTGTACCCTCAGGTTGCTTGAATGTAAGTGTCATTTTAAAAGGGGGAGATTTTTGTACCTCCATGGCAACATGAAAATCACATTTGAGGTTTATAATGCTTTAACACTGATACCTGTTTCTTTTACAGTGATTTCCTCGCCATGGTGACCTACCTGACATGGTTCTCCATTGTCTTTACTGTGGCTGCCTGCATTTCTATGATGTTTGAAGATGCAAATAACAGGGTCATGGAAACGCCTGCTCTCCAGGTTGCGGAGTATGTCTTTGTTATCTTCATGAGTTTGGAGATGATGCTCAAGGTTAGCTTTCTCTTTCTCTCTTGAAATCAAAAAGTTTCCTTTCTGTTAGAATAATATGCATTTACATTGTGCTTGGTCAGGGGCCCTTCTTTGATCACTTTTGTGTTAGTTCAAGGGCCATTCTACTACTACTTTCTTTGTTACAATCATTCATTCTAGTTATCTCCATAGCTCTGTTTATCTTTCTTAGGTTCTGGCAGATGGCCTATTCTTTACACCAAAGGCTTTGATCCGAGACGTGGGTGGTGTTTTGGATGTCTTCATCTACTTTGTTAGCCTGGTTTTCCTGTGCTGGTTACCCAAAGATATCCCACCCAAATCTTTGGCTTATGTAAGTTATCTGCCCAGCCTACTGTAGTTTCAGTCATTGCATTACGCATTGTATTTTTACTATACTGACAAAATATGGGTCATCCTAAGGTTGGACTTGTTTAATCCCCTCACACAGATCCTCATGATTCTGCGGTGTTTCCGTCCACTGCGCATATTCACATTGGTTCCCCATCTCCGGAAGATGGTCTTTGAGGTGCTAAGAGGTGTCAAGGAAATTATGCTGGTATCCATCTTACTCTTGGCACTGATGTTCATCTTTGCTAGCTATGGTGTTCAGATCTTTGCTAACCAGCTTGCCCAGTGCAATGACCCATCGATTACATCAAAGGTAAGATTGTTACAAACTGTACTGTGGTGTGCTTCCTAGCAGTTTGCTGATTATAATTTCTTCAAGTTGTTAAGCATTGCAACAAAGCTTTGTGCAGCAAAGTAAATTGCGAGTTAGAACCTTGAACCAATTTTTTAATGGCATATGGTTAATTACAAGATTACATTGCTCTTCCATATTCTGTTGCTAATACCACATTGGTTATGAGCTTCAAAAAGTACTTATTTACAGGTATTATTAGTTTGGTTTCTGTGGTACCGGTAATCAACATGCAAGAATATGAAAGTGAACGGTACTAATTTCATCCTTTTGTGTTTGCTTTTGAATCGTAGGAACAGTGTGTTGGGAGTTTTGTCCAGAATGTTTCCGTGGTGAAGTTCCGTAAACCGAGGGATTATGAGCTCCAGCCAGGCTTCCTTGTTCCTAGGGTCTGGTAAGGCCACATGAACAATATTGCATGACTTAAGAGTTTGAATAACCCTAACTGTCTTCAAACCTTCATCTTTTGGAGGATTGAGTTCTGTTAGGGTTAAAGACGTAATGTACTGCTACAAGTTGAAGCCACAGACAGAAATGCCACACTCCTTGGCCCTTGGTTCTTAAACATTTCTGATATCCTTTGTGTTTTTTCTGCAGGGCTAACCCACGTAACTTTGACTTTGATAATCTGGCCAATGCCATGCTAGCATTGTTTGAGGTCTTGTCACTTGAAGGTTGGTTAGAAGTCCGTGACATCATCATTGATAAATGCACATTGGTGAGTACTCCTTGATGTATCATTATTTGTGTAATAGTGATTTGCTTTTATTTATCAGACAAAAGGAGCTCAATTGTTGTTACACTGGATCATCAGGCAATGTTGCACATTCCTCAGACCCAAGTTCCCTCAAGCATGTACAATCTTTTCATCGTGTTATATGGCAATCATACCAGAATTATTAGAAACCATTACTGTGGCATCACAACGCTTGTGTACAGGTGGCACAACGCTTGTGGACAGGTGGTACGTGCGCGTTACAAGCCTCTGCAACTAATGGGGGTTGTGATTTGCCAAATGCATGCGCACTTGAAGTTCAAGAATAAGCTTGTGAATGTGGTGTCACTGCAGTTATGGTGTCTCCTCAGACAAGTCTGTTTTACCTAAGAGATAAACCTGTTGTCATACATACAATGTTTTCCCTGGTACGAGGGAAGGAAATCATGACAAATATTCTGTGCCAAGGATACAGTATGACCCAAATGGCTCCAGACTTCCCAGACATGGTACTCCACTACTGACATTGTGACAATATAAAAAGGAGCAAGTTTCTTTTTCTCTTGATGTAGTGGCATGCCATCTATATCCACATCTTTGTCTTCATCGGATGTATGATTGGACTGACACTCTTTGTTGGTGTGGTCATCACAAACTACTTTGAGAGCAAGGTATTTAATCATAAATTGTGAGATGGTTGTTCAGGGGTATATATATGTATATATAAAGTTGACATTCTTTATTCTTTCCCATAAAACATTGTTTGTTAAGTGCAACAAGTGTGATACAAGTTATTACCACATGTCTTTGCAATGTCCAAATCCTGTGTATTCATTTGCTGTAATTTTACAGGGTACATCATTGTTGACCATTGACCAGCGGCGATGGCAGGATTTGAAAGGAAGATTGTCTCTAGCTCAACCTCTTCACTTGCCGCCAAGACCAGGTACAAATAGCATTAATCAAACTTGACTTGTATCTGTATTTTTACATCTAGTTGTTAAATGTCATAACAGAATATTTTTACTTCATCTCATATTATAGGGTGTTTGTCTGTCTTTGGAAAATGCGGTCTTAAAGTGATACTTAGCGAATAGAATTTTTCAAATTGGTGAATTTATATTTCATATTGTGTAAAGATGACAGTAATAATGAATGTAATATTGATGTCTTCAGCGGTGTGTGAACACATTGATGTTTGTTGATGTCTTGTCTATTTAGACCATTCGTACTTCCGGGCTCGTATGTATGACATCACGCAGCACAAGTACTTCAAGCGCTTCATTGCTTGCTTGGTTCTAATCAACTTCTTTCTTCTGTCATACCGAGTGAGTAATTGAACTATCAAACTATATGACTCACAACTATAAAGAATGGCACAAGATACATTATATTGCTAAATTGGACATTGGAGGACATGAGTCATGGAGTGGGACATTAGGAAGAACATAATTGGAGAGCTTTACCTTCACATGTGTGAATATCAAACCTCTCTAATTCTATGTTATGACATTGATTGGTCCTAGTGGGTAGACCCTGGCCAACCATCCAACACTGAGCCACCCAATAAAGCATCAGAGGCATTGGCTAGCGTCTCGGTTGTCTTGACCATGATGTTTGTTCTTGAGGTCATCTTGAAATGCATCTCATTGAGTCCCATTGGTTACTGGCACAGTCGACGTAATCGCTATGACCTCTGTGTAACCTTGATGGGGGTCATATGGGTAGCGATACACATCTGGAAACGGGTAAGTGAAACAGTGCATGTGTTGAACTGTAAGAAGAGATGTGTCTTTTTCTTGGTAAAATAGTTGTCATGCATGTCCAGGATGTTTTGTATTGTCAAACTGCAATGGTCACTTTGATTTAGTTTTCGTTCAACATGCATGTATGATGTTTCACTTGACTTTCATTTGGGTTGAAATTCATTTCTTATGTTTATTTGTTTAATGCAGTATAGACTTTGTGTGTAACTCGGTTCTCAAGACAAAGAAGTTATACACATTGCTTTCAGCAGGGGGCATTCAAGTTTCTTTATTGTAGTAGTCTTACTCTCGATTCTTTTTTCAGGAGGGATAAAAGTTTGCACACATTCAGTTGAAAATTAGTCACATGACCTCAGGAAATGTGCAGGCAGGAAGCACAACAAATATAATACACTGTACTTAGGTCTGATGAGTAGACCTTACAGCATGGTTTATGTACCCATTATTCACAGACTGAAACTGAAGACATTAATATCTCCTGGTGTCTCTCTTTTTAAAACTCAGTCCAGCATGCATACAGCCCAACTTGTCCATGTACCTGTATTCACCATTCACCACCCTGTGATATGACGGTGTGTCTTTCCCCCCCTTTTTTAAACTCAGTCCAGCATGCATACAGCCCAACTTGTCCATGTACCTGTATTCACCGTTCACCACCCTGTGATATGACCATGTGATCACCTGTGCATACCTAGTCATAATTTCTACCGTGGGATGACTACATGACTGTTATGTGTGGCATTATGCATCCAGCTATATCTGCATGAGTCAAGGACCTTGGTGTTGGTGTCTGTAATGTAGTGAGTTGTTTTTATAACTTTTGTATATTACCATTTTAGTCAACATTCTGAAAGTCATTGTTTAAGCCTTTCCAGTTTTGCATGATACTCTGTAGAGAAGCACCAACTCTTATGGTTTGCATGAATAAACATTATTTCCATCAGGGGTGCGAGTGGCCACTTAAAAATTAAAGCTGAAAATGGCTAGCCAAAAGCTAAAATGTAAAAAGCTGCCATACATTTGTACAGACCAGGTGTACAAAAAAGCTGAAATTCAGGGTCAACAGATAAACAAAGATGACATCAGCTAAAAAGCTGAATTCTCACATCCCGTTAATTTAAGTGGATGCAAAATATTCATTGAAAAATCATCTCTATCGATGCATACCAACTGAATTGGGAGGAAGATCTGTCTCATTTCACCAGGTACAAGCGCATGGACAAATGTTTGCAGTTTCATTTATCTTTCATTGATAATTATCAAGCTATTCGACTTGGATACTTTTTATTTTGCATAAGACATTGTCTTGCTCATCACTTAAATTCAGACTTGTCATAATTCCTAGTTTCATTGAACAATTTCAGGGCCAGTTCAGCTACGCAATGGGATCAGCGGTCATTCTCTTTAGATTCTTCACAATTACTGGCAAACATGTAAGTGCTGACATTACCTTCAACTCACAAAGAAACAGGCAGGCTGTAAATCATGTCAAACATTGAATAGAGTAGCTTTGTTGTAATTTCTTCAAATATTACATCAATTTGAATTGCCCAAATTATTTTTTATTCATTTTGTACAAAGCATTATGGAAGTGACTTAGCAGTAAGTGTTATATTGTGTTTGTATTGTTTTTGTAGCCAACATTGAAGATGTTGATGATGACGATAGTTGTGAGTATGGTGAAGAGTTTCTTCATCATTGTTGGTTTGTTCATCCTCATCACATTCTATGCCTTTACTGGCGTTGTGCTCTTTGGCAAAGTCAAGTATGGTGAAATGCTTAACAGGTGAGTTGTTTAATTCTAAGTCCCTCTCCACCTTGCCTTGATCTTGTTGAAATCATCTTTTATCTACGCATGGATGAAGTTTGGAACCTTTTGACAATAGCTCTAACATTTCCAAATCCTCTGATTTCAATATGATTTTACATACACCCTAGGGGGTCAGGGTGAAAGGTCATGAAGTGAAGTTTTATCACAGGTACCATTGCATTAAGATGCTTTATGTTACGTTGATATCTGTTTTTTTCTTTGACGATGTTCACTCCACAGACATGCCAACTTCGAGCATGTTCCTAACGCTATCGCTGTGCTGTTCCGCATTGTAACAGGAGAGGACTGGAACAAAATTATGCATGATTGCATGGTAAGTGATTTGATTTAATTTGACTAATGATGTCAAGGCAAAGACTCTTAACAGTTAGTCTCAATGTGAAATAGTATTTTGCAGTTGAAAATTATTTCAGAGAAGACTAAAGGAAAAGTCAATATATGTAGTTCCAGTGAGTTTACATGGAAACCCATGTGATTAATTGTCTCAATAGATCAGTCCACCGTATTGCAGCACCACTGGTGACAATTATTGGCAGACAGATTGTGGGAATGTCACTGCATCACTCTTATACTTTGGTTCTTTCTACGTCATCATTGCTTACATCTTCCTGAATCTACTCGTTGGTGAGTCATGCATACACTACACTCAGCCTAAATGTGAAAGTTATCTTGCTGGTATCTGTTTCACTAAGGCAGCATGTCAGTGTCTTGTAGTAGGTCTGACATTGATGATATCTCTTATTGATGTTGCAGGTATCATCATGGAAAACTTCTCACTCTTCTATTCAAATGAAGAGGATGCGTTGCTAAGTTACGCAGACATTAAGAACTTCCAGATTACTTGGAACACAGTAGATGTAGGCAGAAAGGTAAGCTTCTCAAGGTGTGTCAGATTTTATTCCCATTTTCCCTTTGTCAAGTAGTCAGCTGGTTTTTAAGTTGGCTTCAGGATCTGTAAACCAATCAACACCCTGGCTGATGGGGTGTTCCCTTTACATGTAGTAAGTTTTCCATGTTATTAGGAGTGACCAATCATGTTGCTGCTTCTGTTGTTCCTTTAGGGAGTGATTCCTGTGAGCAGAGTCAAATTTGTTCTGCGTCTGCTGCGTGGCCGTCTGGAGGTTGACATGGAGAAGGATCGTTTATTGTATAAGCACATGTGTTGTGAGATTGAGAAAATGAGGAATGGGCAGGATGTCACGTTCCATGATGTGCTCAGGTAAGACCCAGAAAAATGAGGGGTGTCCATCTTACCGATGAGTTCAGCTGAAGACATTGTGAATTCAAGAACTGATAGGCCCAATTGTACAAAAGGAAAATGTTAATAACAAGGCTGGAACATGAAATTAACAGTTGAAATAGAAATGTCATTGTCAACCCCTGCAAGTGAATTTCTGGAAATAAATACTGTAATGTGTTGCTTAAGTATCCACTTCTAAATGTGTGTATCCTCTTGCGTTATAGCATGTTGTCTTATCGATCTGTGGACATCCGTAAAAGTCTTCAACTTGATGAACTTCTGGCCAGAGAGGAGCTAGAGTATAACATTGAGGAAGAGGTTGCCAAGGAAACCATCCGTACATGGTTGGAAAAAGTCTTGAAACGAATGAGGGCGGTATGTAATAGTTACATCATAAAATGAAAATGGCAAAGTTCATTCAGGATCTCATATCGTTGCCAAGGTCTCTTACAGATTGACGTGTCGTAACTGCCTGTTAACCATTTCCTGCCGGGGCAGTTATCAATGTTGATGATGCTGGGCCGGGATATCTATCATTTTTTTCTGTTTTCAAAATTCTTAACAAATTCCTATCTTCATTTACTGGACACTTACAAACACGTGAAGGACTGTCTGGTGTCCACTTTAGCCTGACAGAGAAAAATCTATTGACGCCTGAATATTTCAGCCAGGCCTGCAGCCTTGTAAAAAGAGCCCAGATTGTGCGGTGTTATA